CAGAATTCACAGATAATAAAAATAATTTGCTCCTACATTGTTTTCACGAGCATTAGAAACCTCTAAAGCCTCATTCTTTCCCACTGTTGGAACTTATCAAAGCAGTTTGCCTGGTAACTTCCCCAGCTGACATCCAGAGATCAATGTGCAAGAGGAAAGCATTGTTTTGGAGAAGTCAGGCATAGCCAGTCCCCAAAAAGCCTCTAAAAATCCTTGTTTAAGGTTATGTAAGTGAGGGGAGGAGGATTGTGTTTTGTTCCTCACACTAATTTATTAAGTACTTGCTTAATTCATCTGAAGTTTGCAAAAATTAGGGGCATTCTGTTAATTTTTAAAGGCAGTAGCAGTTAAAAAAATTGTCCAAAATTACATTACAAAAGCTTTTAAAGATGACAAAGACATTCAGAGCTGAACCTATTGCAGCAACATTTCAAATAATTTAAAAAATAAATTAGTTGATTCAAACAGTATTTCCTTATGCACAAACACAGGGGCTGTTGTTTTCGCATGGATTTTGGTGAGTTTGGGGTTTGTTTTGTCATTTTGGGTTTGTTTCTTTGGGGTTTTTGTGGGTTGTTTAGCAAAATTGCTGTTAACATTAAAAAAGAGATGAAAAAACCTAAGTTGGGTTGAAAAGCTTTATTTCCTTAATAAAATCACAATTATACATAACATTCAATCACAACATTTTTTTCCTTGATATTTATTTTCATGTTGGCTAAATGCAATTCCTAATATAAAATCCCAATTTTTAAATTAACATTGAAACAAACAAACAAAAAAAATTATATATATACACACAACATAAACTGACATTTTGAGTTGGTTTTTAAAGGCAGTGCCAGTTCTGGAGGGGTCCTGGCCCTTTCCTTCCTGCAGAGAGGAAAAGGCCCTGGAATAGCAGAAGAGATCATTGCTCTGGGAATTCCAGAGTGGGAAGCTAAATCAGCATCTCCCTGCAGCAACAGCACTGTCTTCTACTTCATTGACAGCAGCCTGTGCTTGGCAGCTGAAGAAACCTCTTAAGAGATAAAAATCTTGATTTAATTCACCTATTTTTTAGGAGAGCTCAAGAATCTTCCAATTTTAGGATAAAAAAGTCACAAAAAAACTCTTTTTCCCCAAGGCAAGCAAACAACCTCTCTCTGCCCCCTGCACCACCCAACACGGTCCCACCTCGGGGTGAAGCTACCACATCTCACAGCAAAGGAACAGCCAAGCTCCCAAATTAATTCCTAAAGCCAGCACATTTCCAATTTAAAACCACAAATCCAACACTTTTACACGTTGGTGACAACAGGCCATGACAAAACCTTATGGTTCTGCCATGACTAAACCCAAAATGAGGTTCTATAACCAGCAATGCTGTTCTTTCCAAAATGAAAGACAAACTCTGGGAAGTGAAATCAAAAGAATCAAAAGGACTGACAGATATCCAAATGGAGTTACAAGGATTGTCTCAGACCTTGTCTCATAAAAGATAACTGTCCCCCTTTTTTCTTTAAATTAATTTAAAGCAGTGATTATGTAAATGCAGCTGGGCAGTCCATGGATTGCTGGGATTCCTTCAGCTGAAGGGGTGCAGCATGATAGCTACAACTTTATTGCAGACCACGAGCCAGCAGGTAATTCCCACACCTCCTGGAAAAGAGGGAGAAACCAAGATTGAAGTTGTTAGATCAATAGCCCTGAGGAACCTGTGCAGCTGCAAACAACCTTGGAAGTGTAAAAAATGAAACTCAGAATTCATGAGGCCAACAGGAAATAAACTCTTTATATGCACAAGGGAGATACAAGAGATGGGAGATAAATTAATGCTGGTCCTCCCAAAAAATTCTGGATTGTCTTGGGAAAAGAGCACCAAATACACAAATATGAGCTAAAGGGTGGTGAGTGCATCCCAGAGGAAAAACCATCAGATACAGACTCAAAAGAAAATCTAAGTTTAAGGAAGAATGCTTTCCTTGAACTTAAATTCAGGATTTGAGAGAGGTAAAAAGCAAATTTCCTCTGAAATTGAAAGCAGTTGTTTTGTAAGTACATAGCTATTCATAGCACACCTGTGAAGAAAACTCCCTTTTGGGTGATTTTCTGATTTTCTAATTTAAACCTTCCCCAGGGTCTATTCAATACAGAGAAGGGCAATGCTCTGTTTGGGTGGAAATAAAAATGACAAAATTCCGTGTTCGGTTCAAGAAACCAGAACCACACATAGAAGAGCTGCCCAAATATTCGAACCCTGTGCTCTGGGAGTCAGAGAAGCAGCTGCTGTGAATCCCTGGATGCTCTGGGGCTTGGCAGTGTCCCTCTCCTCACCTGCCACTCCTGTAGGGAAGGCCACCAGGCGCTCCAGGGGAGCCAACCACTTGCTTGGAAGCACGGTGACGGGCTCGGAGTAGTACTTCCAGATCAGAGAGATCATCAGGGCAGCCTGGAATGGGGATTTTTTTATTAGTCTGGATAATAACACACATCAAAGTACAGTCCCAGTGCTATCTGGAATTGTTTCTTTGTTATTTTATCTTCTTCAGAATATTTTTAGATTTCATATGACCTTCAATTTATACATAATATTACGAGGTTGCAGGGAGAACTTGTTTCCTTTCAAGACCCTCTTTCCAATCCAGCAGAGTCAAACACAGTCACAGCATTTGTTAAAATTCTGATGACCCTTTTTAGCTTGAATTTTTGCCTACAAGGAGTGCAACTCACTTCAACAGTCCCCTAAGGAAATCTTCAGGCTGACCACTGCCATCCTCGTTAGCAAATTCTTTGGCATCACATCAGAACTACTCAGACAATCTGATGAGGCACCGTGGGGAAACGTGTGGCAGCTGTAGGTGGAGATTTGCATCCTCAGCAGAAGTACATTTTGGTTTCAAAGCTAGAATTATATTTACATGTAGCAGAACTTTCCTGGATTTGGGGCCATATTAAAAAAACCCCAGTGATTAAAGAGCTTGTCCCCCCAAAACCAGAAACACAGAGTGGAGATGAAAGTTAAACTCCTTCCATCCTCAACTACCAGATTTTATCAGCAGATTTTATTTCCCTTCCAGTTCCAGAAACTCTTTCTGTCTGCTCTGGGCTCTCTGCAGCAGCTCCAGCTCCTCCCTGTGCTGGGGGAGCCCTGAGTGACCAGATATGGAACAATAAACCAGGAGAGCATTGTAACACTACTGAGAATTTGGGTTAAGTTGCATCCACAACAAAATATTTACTTACCTGCAATATGTAGAATACAATATTTATGACCCACTTTATTTTGGCTAATTGGGCAGTTCGTGCTTTCACTGTCAAAGAAAAAAAGATTACTTTCCATTACTTATAGTAATGAGTTATAATTACATTAAATTAGTAACATTTTAATATTTCACTGTTTAAGGCTGGACATTACCCTGTTAAAAAACCTCTTTCCAAATAATTTATAGCTATATTAAAAACACCCTTCTACAAAAAACTGCCAGCTCTGTATCACACTGCAATTTCTATTTTGAGTTACTCAAAACAGGATTCAATGATGGGCATCACTGAGAAAGAATAAATAACTCTATACAGTGAAGCCCAGGAAATTCCTGGAAAGACACAGGTAAGCTCTTCAAATAGTTTAAAGAGGGGAAAAAAATGGGAGGGAGGGAACACCATCTGCAGCCTCAAACCACAGCAGAAAGCTGAGCAGAGATCTCCAGAGAATCTTGGAATATCCTGAGTTGGAAGGACCCACAAGGAACTGAGTCCCACCCCTGGCCCTGCCCAACAATCCCAGCCTGGGCATCCCTGGCAGCGCTGGCCAAAGGCTCCTGGAGCTCTGGCAGCCTCGGGGCCGTGCCCATTCCCTGGGCAGCCTGGGCAGTGCCAGCAGCCTCTGGGGAAGAACCTTTCCCTAAAATCCAACCTAAATCCCCCTGGCCCAGCTGCAGCTGCTCGCTGGGTGCTGTCCCTGTCCTGGAGCAGAGATCAGAGCTGTCCCTTGGGAGAAGCTGCAGATCTCAATCTCAGCCTCCTCCAGCCTGAACGAACCAAATGCCCTCAGTCTCTCCTCATAGGCTCTTTCATCACCCATCTCTAGCAACACTGAGTTCAGCTTCCCAAACTGCTGAGGATGATTTAAGGTTTAAAGGATTTTTTGTTCATTTTTGAACAGTGCACACTGATCTCTGTGCCAGTCAAGTTATTTCCATGGTCGAGCAGAGCGACAGGGATCTCAGCATCTTTGTACACATGTGACTTTATCTGAGTTTACTTGTCCTCAATTCCATTATCCACGCTTCCACAGGAATGCTTCAGATCAGAACAGGGGCACCCTGACCAGTGCTTAAGATTATTAAGATCTATTCCTACAATGACTTAACTCCATAATCTCCATATCCACTGATCTCCCACCTCAACAATGGCCACGTCCATCTGCTGAAAACACGCAAGACTGAGCAAAGCTGTCCTTCCATTCCCAAAACTGGGAAGCTGCGGATGCCCCATCCCTGGGGGAGTTCAAGAACAGACGGGACAGGGCTCTGAGCAGCCAAGCCCTGTGGAAGGATCCCTGATCGCAGCAGGGGGGTTGGAATCGGATCATCCTTAAGGTTCCTTCCAGCCCAAAAAATTCCATGATGCATCCCAAGGGCTGGAGGCTCAGGAGAATCACGGAACACACCGGTAACTCATCCCCAGAACCCGGGGCTGCGCTCCACCATCTCCAGCAGCAGCTTCTCCTCTGCAAGGCCAGCACTGGGACCAGACCCTGCCCGTCCCGGGAGGGGCACCGGGAGCGCTCCCGCCCGGGCACCCTTAACGCCCCGCCGGCTTCCTGGGGTTCCCCTCAGCGCCATCCTCCCGCTTCCCCCTCAACGCCATGACTCACGAGGGAGGAGCAGGAGGGCAGGAGGATCTTGAGCGCGTTGCAGAGGAACACGGCGCTGAGCACCAGCAGCCAGGCGCCGCTCTCCGCCATGGGCCCCGCGCCGCCGCCCGCCTGAGGGCACGCGGGGACGCGCGCGGCACGTGACGCGGGCGGGCCAATGGCGAGGCGGTGCGCTCGGGGCGGGGCGCGCGGCGATCCGGCTGGATCCTGTTGCGGCGCCGCTGGCGCTGCTGGGATGGGGAGGGGGGCGGCTCCGCTGCGCAGCCGGGCTGGGGCGCGCAGGCGGCCGCAGCAGCGCTCGCAGCAGCCGCGCCACACGAGCAGCCGCAGCCGCGGGGGTCGCGGCCGGGAGCCTCGAGATGCCCAAGAGGAAGGTGAAGGCGGGCGGCAGCGAGCGGGGACGGCCGGGAGCGTGTGGGGAGCGGGCTCGGCGGGAAGCGGCCGCGCCGCGGGCTCCGGTGCGGCGGGCGGCGCCTTCCCCTTGTGCCGCGTGGCTCGGCGGGCCGGGGAGGGGGCGCAGGGCGGGGGGCAGGCGGGGCTGCCCCGGCCCGCCCGCCCCTCACGCCCTTCTCTCTCTCTCTGTGTCTGTGTGTGTCTCCCCCCGCAGCCCAAGCGGCGATCGGCGCGGCTCTCCGCGGTAAGTGCCGAGCGGCGGGGCCCTGCCGGGATGGGCGGGAGGCCGTGCCCGGACTGGATCCCCGCCTGACTTGTTCTCTCTCCTCAGAAACCCGCGCCTGCCAAAGCAGAGCCGAAACCTAAAAAGTTACCGGCAAAGGTGAGAGTGAATTGGAAAAGGGAAGGGAGAGGAGGTGGTGCTTGGGGCAATCCCGCGTTGTGTCCTCGGTGCACCGTGCTGGAATGGTTTTGTTCCTTGTGGGAACTTGGCTGAAGTGTTGTTTTGATGTGCTTTTGCCAGTATTTACAGGTACATTCCATCACTGTGGCTGTAGATCCTTGTTAAGCTCCAGGCATTGCACGGAAGTGTGGGCACGGATCCAGGCATGTTACATTGTGGTTTGGTATTGGGTGGAACTACCTGACTGTCAAAGCAACTGTGTTAGGACATCAGGAGGAATTTCTTCACAGAAAGGCTGGTCAGGCATTGGAAAAGCTGCCCAGGGAGGTGGTGAAGTCACCATCCCTGGAGGTGTCCAAGGATAGGCCTGGATGTTGTTTGCTCTGCTCTGGTTGACAGGGCAGTGCTCAGTTAAAGTTGGACTGGAGTATCTTGGAGGACTTTTCCAAACTGAAGGATTCTGTGCATAGCGTTGTATTTCATCTGCATATCTGAGAGGGGATAAAACACACCTACTGATGTTTTAAAGCAGTGTGTTAGGACAGGGAAAAAATTGTATTAGCCACTTTAAAACCACATGAGCTTCCATTCATGTAGTTAAGCTTTCAGGTGTTTGTGTGAAAGAAAGCGGGTTTGTGTGGTCTTTGAATTTTTCAGCACAGCTTTCACAGTGAAAATAAGTGAGGTGTAAAATTCTTTGGTTTTTGGGAGAATTAAAAAAGGCCTTGTGTCCGTTTGCTTGCTGCTGTTTATGTTGTTGTGTTTCTTTGTCATCATAAGCTTTTCTTTGTGATGTGTGGATTAAAAGCTTTGGGATGACCTCATCGTGACCTTTCAGTACCTGGAGGGAGTTGATAAGAAAGATGGAGAGACAATTTCCAAGGGCTGGAGGGACAGGGAATGGCTTCAAACTGCCAGAAGGCAGGGCTGGATGGGATACTGGGCAGGAATTGCTCTCTGTGAGGGTGGGGAGGGGCTGGGATGGAATTCCAGGCTGCCCCTGGATCTCTGGAAGTGCCCAAGGCCAGGTTGGACATTGGGGATTGGAGCAGCCTGGCACAGGGGAAGGTGTTGGGGGTCGGATGAGATGATCTTTAAGATCCCTCTCAACCCAAACTGTTCTGTGATTCTCTAATTTGAGATAAACTCATAATTTTTCCAGATTTCCTGATGTTTTCATTGCACTAATCCTCTTGAGCAGTTACTGATGAGGAATCCACCTTCATTCTGGTGGTTTCAGTATCAGCGTTCCTACTCTCAGGGCTGTAAGCCTAAAGAATTTGGGGAAGCTTTCCAATGCTACCGAGTTGTAATTTCCTTTTTTTTTTTCTGCAGTGTCTGTGGTGCATCTGCACTTACTGCTGCTCATTGATGCTGACTGATGTCTGATCTGATTTTCTGCTTAAAACTACTTCAAGCTATTAATTAACAGTCAAAGATTTGTTATTTGATTCATCAAAAATCCCTTTTTTGCATCAACTTTAACAGTTTTGAAAACTTTCCTCACAGTATTTTTTCCAGTTGTGAGAATTTTGCTCATTATGGAGTTATTTGGTGGGCTTTTAAAATAAATATTAATGAAGAAAAATATATTCTGGCATTCAAAATGTAGAAGTCATTATGTTACAATTATGTAATTCTGAAATATTTTATAAGTGGGTGATGAGGAGTTGTTGGTAGCTTAGCAAGTTTTCTGAGCTTTTTATTATTTTCAAGGTTTACCTGAAGAAGATTGTAACAATTGACTTACTGGAAATGTATTTCATTGTAGGACAAATCTGAGGACAAGAAAGCTCCATCAAAGGGGAAGAAGGGGCCTAAAGGAAAACAGACAGAAGAGACAAACCAAGAGCAGACAAAGGACAACCTGCCTGCAGAAAATGGGGAAGCTAAAACTGAGGAGGTGAAGATTGGAGGGTTGGCTTTGGGTTTTGCTGTTACTGAGAAGTTTGGGGTTTTTTCCTGCAAAAGTTTCTTGAGTAATGAAATACTTTTTCTTGGGCCTGGAAAGAATCTTGTGTGAAAACCCAGAGTTGATCTGTGCAAAGTTGAGGTGACATTGACAGACCCTGCTGGGAGAAGGGGCAGGTTGGTGCAGGGACAAAGTTCAACAATTAATGAGTTGTTGTTGCTGGAGAAGTGACTGTGCCAGGTGAGTCTTGGCTGCACCACAGTGCCAGAGTGGCTGAACTTTTTTGGAGTCATTGATCAGATCACTTACAGCATCCTCCACTCTGTGTTGCACTCCTGGAATGCAGACAGTCAGATACAAATTTAGGCCAAGATCTGCAGGGATGAAACACAAACGTGGTAATGGGCCTGGAGTTGGTGTCAGGTTTCTGTGACAGGAACATTTTTAGGAATTCTGTGGAATATTTTGGTTTTAGGTAGATGATGAGATTTTTGGGCAGGGAAGGTACAGGATGGTACTTCACTGAGCAGGAGGATTTACTCTGGGGTTCAGTTCATCACTTGCAAGCTTGCAGTGTGAAAAAGTTGTGCTCTAACTACCAGTTCTTCAGCTGACTCAATTTTTGGCATTAATGCAGTCTTTTAATTTGTGCTTGTAATACTTCAGCAGTGGAACCAAATTTGGCAGCATTCCCACCTGGGGTCCCTTTAGTTCACTGGTGCAGAGATTATGTAAATTTACAAGAAATGGATGATGACTTGGTCACACCAGCCAAAATTCCAGGTGTAATTTTATACCAAAGTCTAGCAGAGGCAGAGTCCTGTTGGATGTTGTTTGCTAAGAATTAAAACAGGGTTAAGATTTGAAGAATATTTTAAGTGTGGCACTGAAACTTAAAGGCATAAAGTGTTACCTCATGGATTTTCTAAACACCTCCTATGTAATTGTAGCTGTGTAAAAGCTGAAGTATTTTCTGTCATAAAGGCAGTAATCCAATTAAAATCCTTTGCAGTGTGTGTTTAGTAACAAATCAACATCCTGAAATCCATCCTGGTGGATCTGAGGAGCCTTTTTGAGACAGCTTGGTTTAGCAGGTCATGACCCAAGAGAAATCTGCAGGAACAAGTCAGGGTTACTCTGTGCAGGGTTTAATGTGCATTAAAACCACTCCAAACTAATCAGAGCCATAAAAACTTCCTGCACTGAAGTGTTCTGTTTTTTTTCCCCTTTCCAGACCCCAGCACCTGATGCAGCTGCAGAGAAAGAAGTGAAGTCTGAGTGACACCTGCTCCCACATCTGTAACTGGTGGTCCTTAAATCTTTCTTCTTGTACAATTCAGAGGAATATTTTTATCAACTATTTTGTAAATGCAAGTTTTTTAGTAGTTCTAGAAAACACGTTTTTAAAAAGGAGAGAATCCCGACTCAACCCATTTTTTTACATATTTAGATAAGTGTAAATGCTTTTTTTAAGTGGTAAAATCATGTACTGGTTGTCTGTTTTCTATGAAACCAGAAATTAACGGTGTGTTAATTAAGGAGAGGGCATTGAGGCCGTGATTAGACCTCATGTTCCACAGACTCCAAGGGACAGTTTTCTATCCTATAAAATGAAGCATAACACAGATCAGACTTTGGAATTCATAATGATGTGTTGAGAATGTCTTAACATTTTAGTTATTTATCTTTCTCTATGGTTGTACCATCAGTAGAATTGCTTATCTAATAAAACTGCTCCCTAGTGGTGGATTTCTTGCTGAGTGATGTATATCAGTGACAAAGTTATTTTTGGTAGTTGCAGCTTTATTTTTTTTCCAACAACTTTGTAGCTGTGATGCAAAAGATTGGAAACTTTTATTTTATATCTTTAAATACTGTCTTAAGTAAAAGTTTCTGCTTGGCAGATGGAACTTGTTATGTCAATATTTGAGATACTGGAACTTCACATCTAGTTTTCAAGGACAGCTTGTCTACAAAGATGGAGTGAAAAAATATTTGAAATAGTGCTAGGAAAAAAAAAAACAGAATTAGTTTTTAGATTAAAAAAAGCTCTGTGAATAAAAACAATTGTAAAATTGTTGATAGTGTTTGTGATCACCAAACAAAAGCCAAATAAATCTTGATTATGAAAGGATGTTTCCATAGCTCCTGCATTGACTGTGAACTCACAATCTGAGTGCTGTGGTTTGGATTTTTTAACTGAGTCCTTCAGAGTGTTAAAACTGTACTTTTTTAAAGAGATGGGTGGCAGTTCAGGGAGTGGAGAATTGCAGTGTTGATCTAAACCTGCAGTTTGAAAGCTGAGAGCTTTGTGCTGCTGCTGTTTGCTTTTTTAAAAGTCAATAATTAGTAAGTGTCAGATGCCAGCCAGACAACCGTCACCTTGTCCTGGGAGGAGCCAAGCTCAAACAGTAACGTTTGTTCTTTGTTGTTTTTTTTTTTTCCTTCTTACCCCAGATCTTGTTTATGCTCTTAAGTAACACCTGCAAGCCCAGTACCTGCTTCCTGTACATTTTTAGTGCCTTTTTCAAATTGTTGCAGTTTTTTCTAAAAAAAGCCACTTCAGTTTCACCTCTAACTTGCTTTCTTAATCAATACTCTCATTTCAGGAAGAATTTTACCATTTTTACCTCTTCAATACTTTAGCAATCTTTAAATTTTCTATAGGAAGTCTCCCAACCTCAGACCTCAACCTTCTCCTGTTCCATTCCATCACAGGTGTGTTCCTCACAGAGCACACCTGGCTTTGGCTTCAAGTTCTTAGATATTTCAAAACTGGAAATTGATGTCACTTTTATAACCCACTTCCCCCAGCATCCCCTTCCAGGTACCATATTTCTTGGTTTAATTGAATAGTAACATGATCTAGCTCCATGGTATTATTTACTCTCTGGTTCTGGCAAGCTCAAGCCACCAGTTAAATAAGTAATAAACTTGCAGGTAAATCCCCCAAAATAACCACTCATCCCTGCTTTTACAGAATGGCTGTTTTTCATGTGTTTTGGGTCTCTGGTGCTGTGATCCCGTGCACTTTGAGCATCTCCCTCACATCTATTACCCACTGCTAAATTTATTGTTACTTCTTGATATTACTGTGTCCTGTGTGATACCAGATTTACTCTTCAGCTAAGGACTGGAGTGAGAGCCGATACAGATTTACATCCAATGGAAAACAATCTGATACAAAATACAACAGCAGGAAAACAAAACTTGTTTCTTGGAACATACTTTGTTGTCTGTATACTACTAGTAGTTGTTTGGGTTAAGGGAATGAGACATAAAAGTAATTTGCATCAAGGTTCTAAAAGTGTATTTTAAGGTATACAGAGGTGAGGAATGAAATAGGCAAAGACCTGGGCTTTAAAATGTAACACAAGTACAGCCATTGCTGTCTTTGTCAGCTTTCATGCTGGGCAGGGCAGGGAAACAACTGTGGGAAAGAAAAAAGATGAGCCAGCCTTTCCTGCCAGCAGAGCTGCTCCATCCCTCTGCTCATCCTGGACTCACTCCAACAGGTTCCCAAAATCCTGTCTCCAGGAGCCAGGCTCAAGATGGTACAGGCATGGAGGCAGAGCTGGTTTTTTTTGGCTCAGTGATGCTAGGGGAGCAGTGCTGTGGTGTGGGAAATGCCCCTCCCCAAGCGGGTGTTTGGGGATGCCCAGGTGCCCCCCGGCACCACCACGGAGCTCTGGTGTCACAGCAGGAGGCTGGGCCAGCCCTAAGCTCTGACATGGACACAGCATTGATGCTCCCGAATCTCTGCAGCCACAGCACACACTGGGCACCACGCGGCTCAGTGCACTTTGAATCACATTATCACAAAATCATTTAGCTTGGGAAACACCTCTGAGATCATCGAGTCCAACCTTTGACTGATCAACACCTTCCCAACGACCAGAGCCACGTCCATTCGTTCCTTGAACTCCTCCAGGACCGGGGACTTCAACACCTCCGTGGGCTGCACATTCCAACGTTTAATCACACTTTCAACGAAAAAATTCTCCCCGTGTCCCCCCTGAGCCTGCCCTGGGCCAGCCTGAGGCCGTTCCCTCTGCTCCTGTTCCTGGAGCAGAGCCCGACCCCCCCGGCTGTCCCCTCCTGGCAGGGACTTGTGCAGAGCCACAAGGGCCCCCTGAGCCTCCTTTGCTCCAGGCTCAGCCCCTTCCCCAGTCCCGATCTATTCTGTGGATAAGCTGCAACCCTTCGATATCCTCCTCGCAGTGAGGGGCCCAGAGCCGGACACGGCACTCGAGGCAAACGCCCTGGCCTGGCGACACACAGCGTCCGCTCCGTCACTGCATCGCCCCCGGAACCGGCTCTCGGTGCCTCGCCGCGGGTCCCGAGCTAGGGAGGCCGAGGCAGCGGCGGCAGCACGGCTGTTCCCGGAGCCGACCGGAGCAGCGCCGCGGCCGCCGCCTCTCCCCCGCCACCCTCAGCGCTGCCGCCTCGCCGCGCTCAGCCCCTCCCCCGGTACGCGTCACCGCCGCCTTCCTCAAGCGATCCTTCCGCGCCTCCTCCTCCCCTTCTCCTCACCCGCCGCCTTCCCCGCCATCCCCCCCGCCACCCACCCCGCTCCCCTTCGTGTATATTCCCCGCGGCCACACGCCTTCACCGCTGTTTCCTCAGCGCGCCCAGAGCGCCCGGTACTGCGGGAACTATTTTCCGCCGCCCCCCCGCGGGCGCTCCCGGCGGAGGTGTCGACGGCGGCTCCGTGGCGGGTGGTGCGGCGGCGATGGCGGCGGCGCCGCCGAGGCTGCGCTGAGGGGGGAGAGGGAGGGAGCGCTGAGGGGAGCGGGGGGGCGGCCGTGAGGGGAGGGAGGGAGGAGGGGAGGCGCTGACAGCGCCGTGCCGAGCCGGGCCCGCCGCCCTCAGCCCGCCATGGCCGAGCCTGCGGCCTCTTCCAGCTCCGGCGCGTCGCTGCCGCTCATTGAATCAGGTAACACCGCGGGCCGGGGTGAGGAGGTGCCGCCGGTGCCGCCATCTTCCTGCCCCCCCCTCAGGATGGGTCACGGCCGCCCCCCGGCTCATCCCCCCGTGTCTCTTGCCGTGTGTCTTACAGAGCTTTACTTCCTCATCGCCCGGTTCCTGAGCACCGGGCCCTGCAGGAGAGCGCTGAAGGTGAGTCCGGGGCTCACCGGGGCGCGGGCACCCCGCGCTGCCCGCTGAGGGTCGGGGGGAGGTGGGAGCAGCCGCGCCCCCCGCTCTGGGGGAGCCAAATCGTGGCTTGTCCCTGACTCTGTGTTTTTCCCCTTCCCTCTGCAGGTGCTGGTGCAGGAGCTGGAGCAGCACCAGGTCTGTGTGGGCTCTGATGAAATCTTGCTGTAGTCAAAAGTTTCCTTTGCAAGTCATTCAAGTTTCTGCCGCTGTCTCAACTTTTCCTCCCCCCCCCAACACACATTGTTTTGGATGTGGTCTGTAATCCCTCCTTTCCCCTTTAACTACTCACTGTTTTTCCGTTTGTTTTTCCTTTATTTAGTTGCTTCCCAAAAGGTTGGATTGGCAAGGAAATGAGCATTATAGAAGTTATGAAGAATTGGTGAGACTTTTCTCTTTTAAAAACCCCCTTTTATTTACGGTGATGACATTGATGTTAGACCTTCTACCTTTTAAGTGTAGGCCCAAATCTTCATCTTCCTGTACCATCCTGGCTCTGAACACTGGAGTCACTTTAAAAAGGGCCTTTAATTTCTTTACATCAGACTAACAAAAACACAAGCGGTGGTTTAAATTGAGGATATTGTTTACATAGCAGAGGTGGAGCTTGGCGTTGTGCAGTGGTACATGCCACTGCCTACATGCAGGCAGGAGCCAATCTACAGCGAGGTTTCATTTCGGAGTTTCAGGGACCAGGTTGTGAGGCACGTTGTGATTTGTCGGTATTTATTTTCTGGTTGGTTTCTTTCAGCCCCCTCCAACAGATTAGGAAATGAAATCGCTGTTCAGAAACCGAGGGTTGGCACTTGTGGCGACTGTGAATGTGCTCACATCGCCGGCTCCTCGCTGGTCGTGCCTTTGTTTCTAAAGTGCTGCGAAGATGGGGGTGATTTCTCCACAAAATTTACTTTCTGCCCTTCCCCGGCTGGTGTGGTGTGTTGTGAATTGTTTTTACAAAAGACAGAGCTGTGTTTTGGGGCTTAATTTTGCTGCTTCTTAAGTGGCAAAGAGTTTGAATGCCAGTGGGTGATGGCCTGGTGGTGCCTGCCCTGTCCTGTGTGGTTTTTATCCTCCTTTATTGTATTTGATCGTGTTTCCTTTAAAGAGTTGTTTATCCTTCCTTTTTCCCACCTAAGGTTCAGGCATTCTGGGTTAATTGACTGATTGTTGCAGTCAGTTCCCTCTTGTGAAGCACTTAAAGATCTCAGGATCATATTTGCATAGAGAAGGAATGAAGTGTTGTTTACAACACTTTTTAGTTATTGAAGTATTGCTTGAAATGATAAGTGTGATTCCATTTCCTCTATTTGTTGTTGTGGTCAGTTGAGCAAAGAAGGTTTTGGATCAGTTTTCTTAAGTCACTAAGAAGCCTGGCCTTGCTAAACAGGAATATTTTCAAGCTCTGACTTGAATTTAGGCAAGATGAAAGTAGGATTAAGCTTAGAAAGAATTGTTGGGAGTTTTTTTTTGTTGCTTCATTGTTGATTTCTTACCCCATTTCTTCTGGCAGAGTGTTGGGAGATCCCATGTGTGCGTTTTTCTGATTTCAGGGCTGCTTTTTAACTGTGATTATTCTGCATATCCAGTTGTCAAAGTAATACTTTTAACATGTGCTGCTTCTACTTTTTTTTTTTTTTTTTTTCTTGCACAATTTAAAGGAAATCTCTGCACAGGGCAGTAGCGTCTCAGAATATCTAAATTAATCTTCTCAGGGTTTTAGTTTCTGTTTTTTGAGGGGCTCTGGGAACCTCTTCTCCCACCGGTCTCACTCTGAATTTGCAGAGACCACAGACAAATGCAGTCATGTGGTGTAATTACTTCTATTCCACTTTGCTGAGCGTGGAATTGCAAGTCTTCAAAATAACTGTTCCTTCCAAAATCTTAGCAAAACTACTTCAAAAAGAAAGGAATTGCAAAGTTTTGTATGCAAGGGTTGCATTTAGAAAATATATTAGAAAATATACATATTGCTGATGGCAT